TTGACTAATTTTCAAAATTAGTTAAATTGCATTAGATATTAAAAAAATATACAAAAGGTAATTTAAAGTACTTTTTTACATGGTGAAAAAATATATATACTTAAATATTAATCAAAACTCATATTATTTGATTCTAAAAAAGAAAATCATGACAATTAAAAATGGACAGAGGAATATCTATCATTTTTTTCTTTATTGACCTTAAATAATGTGATTTGAATTATCCAAGACTAATTCAATGGGTGGAATCATTATTTTTACTAAATATGGGGAAATGAAAAAACAAGAAGAGAAAAATTAAATTATTTTCCTTTTTTATATTGGCAAGTATATTTCTTAAAAAAATATAAGATAAAAAGTTGGACTTGTTCTTTTTCTATATTTATTATGACATATTACCCTTTTTGTCTTTCTCATAAATGATTAGTCAAAAAACTCCATAAATATATGTATGCACCTCTTCAACTTTTTCTAATAAAATTCTCCAATTTCTAATCCCAAAAAAAAATAAAAAAATCAAAATGTTGCGTTTGAGTAACAATTTAGTTGGAATTGTTAACATAATAACATTTATTATTTCAATTCCAATTCTAGGTGGAGGAATTTGGTTATCAAAACAAGCAAATACAGAATGTGAAAGATTTCTTGAAAAACCAATTATAGCACTTGGAATATTTGTTATGTTAATTTCATTAGCTGGTTTAATTGGTTCATGTTGTAGAGTTTCATTTTTTTTATGGATTTATCTTGTTATAATGTTTTTATTAATTATTTTGATTTTTTGTTTTACAATTTTTGCATTTGTTGTTACTAATAAAGGGGCTGGTCATGTTTTATCTGATAGAGGGTATAAAGAATATAGGCTTGGTGATTATTCTAATTGGTTACAAAAAAGAGTTAATAATCATTGGGGTAAAATTGAGAGCTGTTTGAAGGATACTAAAATATGCAAAACATTGATGGATCATAATGGTGATGTGGATAATAAAGTTGAAGAGTTTTACAAAAAACATCTATCTGCTCTTCAGGTATTTTCATTTTTATTATTAGCCATATTTTTTATTCGATGTTCGATTGGTTATGTAAAAGGTGATTTTTTTTTTCGATCTTGATCTTGTGAATTTTTTTGAGACTAGTTTTTGTTTTCAGAGTGAATTTCTCTTTTTTTTTGTTTGGGCGAGAATTGGCGGAGTTGTGTTTGACTATGAATACTAACTAGACTGGAGTTGTTTTATTTTATTTTTACGAGTGATTTAGAGTGAATTTAATTTACTTTTTTGTTGTAATTTAAATTGTTGAAAATTCTGAAATTTCGAATTTTCATGGGCATATGTTGATTTTTTTTTTGGAGGTTGGTCATGTAAAGGGGATTTTAGTGAATAATTTGGAGTGAATTTTACTTTCTTTTTTCTTTTTAAAAAATTCTTGAAAAGTCTGGAATTTTGAATTTTTATGGTCAAATATTGATTTTTTTTGGAGTTTTTTTTTCCGCTTTTGGTTATGTTTCGCTGTGAAATTTTAAGAAAAAAAGAAGGTTTTGTTTTTAGAGATGAAAGATATCTTTTGAAAATTTGTATCTGGTTGTGAATACAAATTGGAGTTGTTTTTGAGTAATTTGGAGCGAACACACTTTTTTGTTGTTTTTCAAATTCTTGAAGATTCTGGAATTTCGAAGTTTTATGGCCAAATGTGAGTCCAGATGACTTATTTTGTTTTAACGTTAGCTATTCAGAAATTAAAAACGACGGATGTTGTTTTCCTATCTTCCCAAATCAATTGCCTATGTCTTAATGTGTGGCGTGATGAGATAAGAATGACCACTAAGAGTCTGATTTATCCTTCTTTATAAAGTTGAAAGTTTTAAGATTTTGACTCTGATCTATACGAACAAGTTTTTCATCTCCATTAAGTAAGGGTAGTCTCGGTAGAGTGTATGGAGATTTGACTTCTACCCTTCACTAGTGTGGACACACTCATGTCTACTACCGTTCTACCATAATCCATGCCGCTCACACCTTCTTAGCTAAGGCCATACCTTCGATGTGCTGCAACTGTGTCATATCATGTCTAATCACATCTCTCTAATATTTTTTTGATCTATCTCTATCTCTCCAAAATCCGTCTAAACCCAACTTCTCACACCTCCGCATTGGGACATCCGTGCATCTCCTCATTTTGTGAACCATGTCTACTAACTACTCTTGTTTTGGTTCTATGTATAAACTTCATTGCATTTTCTTGTATCAGTTGAAAGTTTACATAACTTAGTTGATTCACTAACATATTATGCTAAATCATTCTCAAAATGCGGTGATTAGAACGATTTTTTTTTACTTACAATCACTTAACCATGATCAAGTAATAAATGTGTATGAAAGACACGTCTTATGTATTCATTGGCTTGGTGTGAACGCATCCTATATACAAAACCTTAGTCGATATATCTTCTTGATTGTGTATTATGTCCCATTTTGTTTACGGAATGTTTGTTCTTTCAGTCTGGTTGCTGCAAACCATCAAACGACTGCAACTTCACCTACGTGAGCCCGACTAACTGGACCAAGAGTTCAACGTCATCATCCTTCACCAATCCTGACTGTAACCTATGGAGCAACGATCCGAATGTGTTGTGTTACAGCTGTGAATCTTGCAAAGCAGGGCTGTTAGACAATATCAAGAGTGACTGGAAAAGAGTGGCTGTACTCAATATCATATTCCTTGTTTTCCTCATTCTTGTTTACTCTGTTGGATGTTGTGCTTTTAGAAACAATAGGCGTCTTGATTCATATAAGCGTTATCCTTAAGAGTACTGCTCGATTGATCAGTCGTTGTTAAGATTCTTGTCGCGTATGATAAGGAGTATAAGACCATTTAGTATGTTGCCATGGTCTTGAATGTACAGATGAGTACTATTTGTTCGAGTTCTGTTGGACTAGTTGATTCATGTTAATACTCGAGTTCGTTGTTTAGAACATGTTTTTCAGGTCTTGGCTTGTTGTCTGTTGGTAAGGTAAGAGGTTCAAGTCCGATTTAAGCAGTTAATACACTATTCATTCCTGTTATAACACGCTTATCATGTATGTTGTAATTGGAATGACAAATATCGCGCTAAAAGAAGAGGAACTAGCAAGAGATATCGAATACTTATTGATGACATATGAAATAGAGTGAATTGAGACTTCAACTATTCATTCAATGTTTTACCAATTTTGGGGTCAAAATTCACCTATTGATGCGATTAACTTAACTATTTAATAGACGAATAAAAACTTCTGGCAATAGCTTGGACTTGTCTCCAAAATTGGTAAAATATTGGATGAATTGAAAAGTATTGTGGAGAATGTAAGTTCATTTGGCAAGCAGAGTTGTAGTGCTTACTCATGTGGATATAGTAAGAATTGACATATTTGATATAGACCAATAAAAATAAATGTAGAAAAAAATATTTTAAAATGTGAATTAGAAATGTATGATAAAAATATTTTATCGAGGAGTGAGGTATACAATTGAAATATGACTTAATTTGAGTGTTTAAACAAAATTTTCTTACAAGTTTAAGGAGCTGACTATGCCTTTTATTTTGTTAAAATAAAATTAAGTACAACTTTTTGGTATATATAAAAATAAATAAAAAATGTCAAGAATAGAAAAATTCAAGGGAAAACAGTAGAAGAGTTGAAGTTAGAGGATTTATCATTTTTTAAAAAAATATTTTATGATATTTGATTAAATTTATACTATTCTCTCGTTCTATCTTTCCTTATCTATTATACTAAAAATAAGTAGAGCTGTCAAAATAGGTTGATCCAATCTAGCCCTAACGGGCTATGAAGTTAAATAGGTAAAAAACGAGTTCTTCCTTTTAATTAAAGGGTCTATAAAATAACAATATATTCAGCTTTAAGCGGGCCACAAGTTGAAACAGATCAGTCCTTCAATCAAAAAACGGACAACATTGATGTCTTAGAAAGAATGTCAAACATTGATGTATGAACACAACATCAATAATACAAAAATTCATTTATGAATTACATACTTTAGTGAAAACTTATAAAAACACATAATAACAAACATAATAGCCAAGATACAACATTGTATGATTCATCCAACCAAAAAATATATATGATCAATTTTTTCATGAGCACGACAACAAAGGGAAAATAAAAATTAGGTATAAAAACAAAAGTAGGCTTGATTTTAGTGGGTTAATGACCCTAAAATGTAAAGGATCTACAAACGAGTTAGACTTGATTTTATATTTTTAAATATTTAATATTTATTGGAAAAAAAATTAATAAATAAAACACTACTAAAATATTATCATAAATATTTTTAACATTCATAACTCGTGGGCTGACCTTTAAGCCTTACGGATTGGACTTACGAGGCTAGCGGACCAAATGAGGTTGGCCAAAAAGCCTAGTTCAGAAATGGGCCAAAAAATGTAGGCTCAACCTTACTTAATTCAAAGGTTGTGTTGAGGTGACTTAACGAGCCAAATCTATTTTGACAACTTTAAAACTAACTATCCAACAATTCTTGTTCAGTTTGAAAATCAAGGAATAGTTTATCTTTTTGTGTCTATTTTATCCTTGTTATTAAATACTATTCAATATCCTTAAAATTTTAAATTTAAAATATTATTCAACGGATAATATAATATTATTACACTTGTTATTTATTATTTTTTAAAGTATATGTCAAATTAATAGTAGACAACTATTATTAAACCGAAGTATTAACTAATTGTCCCTTATATTGAATGAAATTAATATTCATCAAATTAATAAGCTATACAAAGTCAATGTACTACGATAAGTTACTTAATTTTTTTGGATGATATTCAATTGCATTTAGGCAATTAATATATATATATATATATATATATAATAAAATTAAATTTTGAGAAAAGATTTATATATGTCATTCGTTAATAGTTTAGCTTATCTATGTCATTTCTGTTTGAGAAAAGACTCATCCATATATATGCATGCTATTACATGCCATTATTTGTTAACAGAAAACAATTCTCATATTTTTTACCATTTGCAAAAAATGGTATTAATAACCAAATAGAACAAGCAATACTTAGAGCAAATAAATTAGGTGTTAAAGTAATTAGTCTTGCAGCATTAAACAAAAATGAAGGATTAAATGGAGGTGGAATATTATTTATTAATAAATATCCTAATCTTAAAGTAAGAGTTGTACATGGAAATACATTAACAGCAGGAGTTATCGTTAATCAAATTACTAAACATGATGTTAATGAAGTTTTTTTGAGTGGAGCTATTGCTCTTTACCTATGTACTAAACAAGTTCGTGTTCTTGTAAGTATATTTAATTAACTTAATTAATTAACTAATCATGTTGTTTAGTTTAAAATAAATAAAAATAACTAAAATTGATGTGTTTTGTTTTTATTTTTTCAGATGTCAACTTCATCTAGTGAAAGATTTCAAAAGATACTTAAGGAAGCTCCATATGAATATCAAAAATACCTTGTTCATGTCACAAAGTATCAAGCAGCTAAAAATTGCAAGGTAATTTATTTGACTATATTTTTGGTCAGAAAAATATTCGGTGACTATTCTGGTAGATATTTTAATTGAATCGGTGAGAAAACAATAAAAACATATTTTCATTGATCTATATTAAGTGAATTATTGAGATTTTTTCGTAATCTAAAATAAGTGAACTGTTCAAAGTTCAAAAGAATTGTTACCTATACTTATCATTAACTTAATGAGATTCTTAACTGCTTTATATTTTTTAAGAAAATAGTTTGGGAATAATTAAATGGGTAATTGTGGAAAATAGTTTTTTTTTTATCATTAAATATTTTTTTAAGGGGTGTGCTATATCCCCAATAATTCACTTAATATAAACTAGAGTGAGTAATATTTTTAAATGAAAAAATTAGAAAGTTTCCTGATATTTCAGTGAGAATTTATATCCTATCACAATACCATGTGTCTTTTTTTTTCAGTAAATAAGTTGGTCAAGAAGAAAATGAGCGGAAAAATTAAAAAAATTATGTTCTATAACACAAATTTCCTATTAATTCATGATGGGAAAAAACTTTTATTTGTAGTGAATTAATCAAACCGCCTTTTTATATATTTCTTATTGCTAATTAATTAATAATTCCAATGGCACAGCCACAGATAGGCTAGGATGATCAAACGAATATCCGTCGTTGAAAAAATTATACGAAATTTATTGATCAAAAAATACTTTTCAGATATATATATTAAATCTTGGACATTCTTAATAAAATTTCTGACTTCGCCACTAGTTATAACTGTAATTGTATATTTTGGTTTTTTTGGTATATATAGACATGTATAGTTGGAAAATGGATAACACCAAGAGAGCAAAAGTTTGCTCCTGTTGGTGCACATTTTCATCAATTTGTGGTACCTCCTATTTTGCCCTATAGAAATGATTGTACATATGGTGATCTTGCTGCCATGAGATTACCTCCTCATGTTAAAGGACTTGGATCATGTGAGGTAATTAATCAATTTGACTAATTAATAGCTAACTTGTTCGGATTTTTCAAAATAATTGATGCATTCGTATCAGATCCTTTGAAAAATATATTGTTTTTGAAGGAATCTGACACACATATGACTCATTGACATTTTTGATGAGTCCGAGTAACGTAGATTAATATGTCTGATTAAAGTTTATTTGTATGTATAGTATACAATGGAAAGAGGAGTTGTACATGCATGTCATGCAGGAGGAGTTGTACATTCATTGGAAGGATGGACTCACCATGAAGTTGGGGCTATTGATGTACAAAGAATTGATTTAGTTTGGGAGGCTGCTTAAAACATGGATTAATGCCTGTCTCAAGTTTTAAAAAGACTGATTAATGAATTAATTACTTGTTATCTCATTAAGTAACAAATATTCCAAATTAATTCAAAGTTTCCAATTTGTAGGGATTAATGTAATTTGGGATGGCTAGATTTATGTTTAGTTGGATTTCTGGACTACATATATATTAGTCCATATATATATATATATATATATATGTTTTATGATTTCATTATGAATATTCAGAAATTTAAATTAAATTCATGATTTACGTGGTACATATTAGATTTTGAGATTTACATAGATTTTTTCTTTAGTCATAACTTTTTGATATATATATTTTTTAATATCTCGAATCATCATAAAATTTAAAGATTTTATGTCCGAATTTACAATCAAAATTAAATGTTTTGACTCTCAAAATTTAAACGATGTTACATGGTTTACACCATAATATTATAGGTATATCAAGGGTGACGAATACGCGAATTAGATCGAATTCTGATAAATTAAATATGAATTAAGCTGGTACACTCTACCTGAAAATGAGACAAAAATGAATGCAAGACTTCGAAAGCCCATGCCTCATAGCATCAAAAAATTTGTCACAAATAGCCTTTACTTTTTGTGTCTAATAAGTGTACTAATATGACTTATTGTAAAGTTTAACTTCACGCTAGAAATAGTGAATTATGTTGGTAATAAATTTATTAGGTCAAATTAATTAACTCTAACATTTCAGAACGAATCTGATTGTCCCATGAATTTAGTAGGGTTTCAATAATATCATCATTTGAAGAAGATCCATTAAGCAATTCCTTCACTCTTCTATACACCATTGTTGAGTTCCCAATAACCTACACACAAATTTTTTTTAAAAAAAGTGTCAAAATGAGTTTTTTTTGCCATACTAAATAGGTTTGAGATTCAATCCATAAAAAGGACTAGAATTTTGAGTTTTGCCGCTAACTAGTTTAATCGTACGTACTATTTCATCCTTAATAAGAAATTTCAAATTTAAACTTTGGATATAAAATTACGTTCGACTTGACATGCTTCTTAAAAAACAATTAATAGAATAATAACTTCACTATATCACACTTTCAATTTTTAAGGCATAAATAAGAAAATCATTCAAAAGGATGCAAACATTCTCTCTTTTACATTTAGCATATATAGTGTATGTAGAGAACACAATTAACTAAATAAAGATATGCTCCTTTTAACCATTTAAGTTTTAAATATGCTTTAACAATATAAAAAAGAATTGAAATTTAAAACTTCTCTTTTTATCCTTAATAATTTGATTTATAGCCACACAAATATCTCATTATTGTTTTAGATCACTTATTTAAAAATCTTCTTTTCTTTTTTAAACTGTATCAAATCAAACCGTATCATATAAATTGAGACAGATAAAATATTATACATACCTCAGTTTCATGGAAAATTTGCATCTTAGAGTTCCCATGAAGTGAAAAGCTTGAATCTATTACTTCAAAACCTTCCTCATTGAGTAACCTAATTATGTTATAAAACATAGATAAATTATCAAGGCCAGTAATCAAAATTAAGTCCATTTTTGGGCTCATTTCTTGTATTTCAATCTGAGGTGATAATAAATTGGGCATAGTCCTTAATTTTTCCAATTGCATTTTGCTTTTCTCCAATTTGATTTCCAAGTTTTTTTATGTAAGTTATTGATGCATCTATTTGATCTGGCAATCCCATTGCTTCCTGCAACTAATTTTCATGCAAACACATAAGTATGTCACAAAAGTACGATAAATTCTAATTTTGATTCTTGTGATATATGACACGACACATTTAACTTTAATTTTGAGTGGTTATATAACATGTAATATTGATCTCTTTGTGTTGTAAATAAGTTATATGTATCAACTAGTTGAGAAATATATATATATATATTACATCAAATAGACGATTTCAAACCTCTTAATCACATATCCTAGTGTTACATTTGATTCAGAATTTAAGCTCGATGAATCCAACCAACATTATATTTGTAGTTATGGGTTCAAACTTTAAAGCATAATAGAGTATCTAATTACATTCTTATAATAATTCACACATTCATCTACATACAAAAAGAAATATTAGATTAAGTTTGAATTCACTATAAAATAATGTATTCAGTGAATTCAAATTAGTCAGTATATAAGTGAGTTCTGAATAAAAGAATAATATGATTACTTCTTATATTGAAAGTTGAAAATGTTTACTATCTGAGCAACTTTATTCTGAACGTTACGAAAAAGATGATGATTCATAGTACGAATATAATATAGAAATTAAAGAAAAAAAACCTGAGAGGGATGAGGTGGGAGTAGGGAATAAAGGTGGTTAAAGAGGATCTTCATATTGTTCCTTCTATGCTTCTCCACATACTTTTTTTCTAATCTTGATGCTGAATTACTACTATACATTTTGTTATAAGTTTTTCTTGTATATCAAGAAATATTAAAATAATATTTTGTGCAAGAAATTGGATATCAATGGAGAGATTTATTTATAGTTTTATTTATTTACAAGAAAGGTCAAAGTGCTCCACACAAAAATTTCTAATAAAATTGTGGTCAACAAGAAGAACATCAATTTTGACTATTAAATGAATGTTGATTAAAAATATCTCATCTCTCCTTCTGCCTCAATTTCTCAATCCTTTATTTATGTACCATTGAAGTTAATCTCTCTCAATATTTATTGCTTTCAATTTTAATTAAATTATTATAAAATTTAATAAGTAGATACATATTTAAATCTGTTCTATATAAAAAAAATTACGTGAAATATGTTATTATAAGACATATGTAATTTCTATACTCATATTTAACTGAAATTCAGAATCTTATTTCTATGGGAAAAAAAGAAGAAGTACGATATAGGTTTTGGATCTATATATTCTTCGACCCAAAAAAAAATATATCCACTTATTGAAATGTCTAACCATGAAAAAGTAGAGTGGATATCTCAAAAGGTCACTCAAGTATGTAAAATTATTTGAAAAAATAACTCAATTTGATTTTATATCAATACAGTCGCCCAACTTATGGATTTTTTTCTATAAAATCACTTAACTTGATCTATTTTTCTAGAAAATCATTATAACCAAAAGATAAAAGAGATAACTGCACAAACCACCCTTCAAGTTTAGGTACGTAATACTTACTTCCATTATAGTTTATAATATTATGTTTATTTCTCTTATTTTATTTTTATTTTAAAATTTTATTTTATTTTATTTTTTATAATTATGTTGTTAACCTAATTATTATTAACATAAAAATTAATGTTTTGTTTAATTTAAATAACTTTATAACTCTTTTATTTAATTTATCAAAAAAATCTAAACTTTCCAAAACAAACTTATTTTTTATTCCATATAAATATGCACGCCGCACTAAATAATATCATATTAAACACGAACATCAGATATTCAATCCAAAAGTTAAAATGATTTGTCCGAACTCATTTAAAAATATTGATGTATATGTATTTTTTTATCATAATAAAATATTACTGCAAGTATATATGTTGGTGGGTATTAATTATGGTAAAATATGATGAAACCTGAGCCAAGTTGAATTAACACTTAATGCTTAGACAAATGAATTGATATTAATTATTAATTAAGTTAAGATAATAATTAAAAATAAAATAAAATAAGAGATAAAACATAATATTATAAACTAAAATAGAAGTAAGTATTACAAAACTAAACTTGAAGCGTGGTTTGTGCAATTCTTTTTTTCAATCTTTTGATTATAATGATTCTTTAAAAAAAATACCATAAAGTGGGTGACTTTATTGATATAAATTCAAGTTGAGTGACTTTCTCAAATAATTTCACATACTTGAGTGACCTTTTGAGATATTTATTCGAAAATGTATCAATTTTCGAACAATATTTGTTTGTTCAAGTGTTTAAAGAGTATGACTATGATTTTTGAATCACTAAAAAAAATTCAAAACAAGACTTGAAAGATATTTGCTCACACTTCGAAAGTTATTCTTCCGAATATGTTTTCAACACATCTTACATGTTTTACATATTTGTTATCTATTATTTTTGTAAAGAGTAAAAATTTGAAAATACTTTTGCAGTGTAATGTTTTTCGAAGCATACCTATCGATCTTATTTATAATTGATGTGAGACTTCTTTACTTTTTAACAATTAGATTCAAATCCATGAATTTATTAATACAATATTAAAAATATACAAAAAACAAATTCATGAAATAAAAATTCTGAATTCGCCAACAGGAATCCCCCCTCCTCCATAATTTGGTTGCTATTTTAGCTTTATTGATCACATAACAATGTAGGCTCTACTTTTGGACATTAAAAGACAAAACTACATTCAAAAATGGCAATTTACCTAAAATCACAAGGAATTTACTAAAACGGCTGTGAATTCAATAGTTGATTTGCACTTTTGTTGTGAACACATTGTTAATGGCCCGCTAGGAATCGACGACTACACCAGGAATTGAGCGCTTACTAACAAATGCGAGTTCGTATTTAATGAAATTAAATCGCTTGATTAAAAATAAAAAAGTATTTATCACTCCATCACAATCCTAGTTGATACACAGGATACTATTCTAGTACTAGACCACTAGTGCTTCTTGTATATAATTTTACAATTAGTTTTATTTTTATTTGCAATATTGAGCTTTATAAGTAGTGAAACAAAAAAATGAATTTTTTTTCTCTCTTTGAAATCATGGTCATGCTGCATAGAAAATGCTACAAATATTGATGACTAAAATTGTATCATACTCAAGGGATTGTACATGAGAGGGCGGCTCCATGTCATTGTTGTTCTGAAGAAAATAGAGGCGGATCATATTACTATTTTTATTGTTATGGTCGAAGGAATCGGTGGTTATGGTGGTGGTGGAAAACATATTACGGCAAGAAGCGGCTCTTTCACGCTTAGTAATAGAACTATATAGTAAGTTTCCTAATAAAACATAAAAAATATTAAACAACAATGAATCGAATATTTGACGCAAATAAAAAAAAGAGCAAAAAAAGAATTAAAAAAATAAGGTTGTAAATCTCACCAAAATATTCCCTATAGAATTAAGACAAATAAATGTTATACAAATACTAGTGGTAAGTATGCTTTGTCACGTACTTA